GTCCGAGGCCTGCCCAGACGGGCGGGTCAGCTCCCACGCCCACAGGAGCAGCGGGATCAGCGCCTCCCTCTCCACCACCTGCTCCCGGGATCGCGGTCCAGGTCGCCCTCACAGCCTGCAGGAGGCACCGTCCTGTTGATTCTCACGGCCACCCTGCTCCCCTCCCAGCATGCCTCAGGGGGTCCTTACGTTCCTTGCTCGTTTGGCTTCGAGCTGTTACCACTCCTGACAGACCCACAGCGCCTTTTTCATTTTTTAAAATACTTTTTTATTAATTTCAGAGAGGAAGGGAGAGGGGGAGAGAGAGAAACAGCAGTGACGAGAGAGAATCATGGATCGGCTGCCCCCTGCACGCCCCACACTGGGGATCAAGCCCGCAACCCGGGCCTGTGCCCTTGACTGGGAATCAACCGTGGCCTCCGGGTTCACAGGTCGACGCTCAGCCACTGAGCCACGCTGACTGGGCAATATCTTCATTTTACGGAGGAGGGAAGAGGTCAGATTGGTACCCGCACAGCCCACACCCGACACCTCCATGGAAAGTCCTCGTCCCAGCCGCCCCTGCCAGGCACCGCGAGGCCAGGCCCAGGGGCACCACCTCGGTCCCAGTCTCCAGCCTGCTGCTGCCCCCGCCACCTGCCCCGGGGTTTCTGGGTGCGTTTCCCCTGAGATGCAGACTCCTCGCTGCCTTGGTTTGGGGACCTGGGGGTTTAGTTGAACTGTAATCGTGTTTGTCTCCTGGAAAGTCTGATTCAAAGAGAGAGTGCTACTAGAGCTGGCGAGCGGCCGGGCGGGGCTGCCGGGGGCGACTCCGCTGGCTGCCGCTGGAGGCCAGTTCCCAGGTCACCAACCGGCTTCTCCAACAATGAGGTCTACACCCTACACGACAGCTTGTTGGTGTATATGGAATGGGTCCTGACCTCCTTAGCATGGAACCAAGACCCCTGTGTGCAGTATTACTTCCCTTCCCTCTTACACAGTGGTTCTCAACCTTCTGGCCTTTTAAATACAGTCCCTCATGTTGTGATCTAACCATACAATTATTCTCGTTGCTACTTCATAACTGTCATGTTGCTACTGTGATGAATCATCATGTAAATATCTGATATGCAGGATGGTCTTAGGCGACCCCTGTGAAAGGGTCGTTCGACCGCCAAAGGGGTCGCGACCCACAGGTTGAGAACCGCTGCTCTTACAGAAAAGCATGACGTATCCAGAACAGAAGAGGAGGAAAAAAATAAAACCTCAGGGACAAGATGTTAAATCCTCAGTCTGTTTCATGAAGCAAACCATCAGCAACACCTGTGGGGCCGCTGGACTGACCCATGCGATTGCCAACAACGAAGACAAGATGCGTTTTGAACCTGGATCCACCTTGAAAAAGTCCCTGGAGGCACCCGTGTCAGTGAGCCCTGAAGAGCGAGCCAGGCGCCTGGAGAGCGAGGGTGCTACTCGAGCCACCCGTGAGACCAGCGCCCACGAAGGTCAGCCCGAGGCACCAAACACAGATGAGAAAGCAAATCTTCCTTTTATTGCCTTCGTTCACGTCGATGGGCCTCCCTGTGAGTTGGACGGACGGAAGCCATTTCCAATGAACCACGGCGGAGCTGGCGATGAGACGTTATGAGAGGAGGCCATCGAAGTTTGCGAGAAGTTTATGGAACGTGACCCTGATGGACTGAGATTCAGTGCGATTGCTCTTTCGGCAGCAAAGTCTGTCAATAATGGAAACTCCAAGTACTGTATTATTTGTAACAAAAATTTAATTTCTGCTGCCATACACTAACTCAAAGATGTTGATGTTTTCATTAACCTGACTGATTAAACTTTATGTGAATTAAAGTTTGGAAAAAAAAAGAACGCTACTTACTTATTCTGCTGACTTCAGGAGCTTTAACCTGATCACTATTTTATTTGTGCATTCCTCTTATTTTAACACACATATATTACTTATAGCTTACATATCCTTATATAGTGTAATATTTATATATTAAAATGTTGCTATATTAAAATAGTATTACTGTCATATTTTAGAAAATTTCATTTTGTTGTGTTTTATCTTAGAAAACATCAGTTCAAAAAAAAAAAAAAAAGAAAACATCAGTTCATGACACCAAAAGTATAGAGTAAGAATCCTCCAGCCCTGGCAGGCATGCTCAGTGGTTAGAGCATTGGCCTGTACCCTGGAGGGTCTCATGTTAGATTCCTGGTCAAGGGCACGTACCTGGGTTGCAGGTCCAATCCCCACCCCCAGTTGGGGTGCGTGTGGGAGGCAACCAATCAATCTGTCTCTGTCACATTGATATCTCTCTCTCCCCCCCCTTTCTCTCTCTGTCTCCTCTCTCTCTTTCTCTCTGTCTCCTCTCTCCCCCCTTCCACTCTCTAAAAAAATCAATGGAAAAATATCCTCTCTTCTCCAGTGAGGATTAAAAAAAAAAAAGGATCCTCCAAAGTCTTCATTATTGGTTGTTACATAAAGTTTTACTCTACCCTTCAACCACCCAGAAAAGGCTTTTTTAATTTTTGGTGTTATCTACACTAATAAAAGAGAAACATGGTAATTGGCGTACGACCACTACCCTTCCCATTGGCTAATCAGCATATCCTTATGCAAATTAACTGTCAGCCAAGATGGCGGCCGGCAGCCAG